GAGGAGTATGGAATCAACCAGAAGTTGGCTGCAGTAAGTCATCCTCAGGCCAACGGACAAGCAGAAATCACAAACAGAACCATTTTCGCCTGCATTAAGAAGAAGCTGGAAGATCATAAGGGGAAGTGGTTGGATGAACTCCCGAACGTTCTATGGGCTTACAGAACCACCCCAAGGCGGCCGACTGGGGAGAGCCCGTTCGCAATGGCGTATGGTACCGAGGCAGTTATACCGGTTGAGCATTTAGTCCCCACTATCAGAAGCTTAGCATGGAGTCAAGATCAGAACGACAAGATGTTAAGATTGAACCTCGACATGATAGACGAAAGAAGGGACGCAGCGGCTATAAGACTAGCATCGTATCAGCAAGTGCTGGCGAATAGTCACAACAAGAGAGTAAAACACAGGGATTTTGCCCCTGGCGATCTGGTTCTGAAAAGAAAGGTGGGGATGGTCAAAAAAATGATGCCGCCCTGGGAAGGCCCATACAGAATTGCAGAAGTCATTGGCAAGGGGGCATATACGTTGGAAACCATGGCGGGAAGGTTGGTCAGCAAGCCCTGGAACGCCACGTCTCTGAAGAGGTACTACCAATAAAAGCTAAGTTTCGGCTTTAATTGGATGTTGTTTGTTGTCAATCAAATACGTATGAATGAGCAAGTTACTGAAATTTGCAAAAAAGAATTTTCTTTTCCAACAGTCTACTATGAAAATTTAAAGCCAAGTGGCAAGTGGCATTCTAGCCGAGCGCCAGGCACTTAAGCAAGATAAGTGGCAGCTGGCACTATAAGCCGAACGCCAGACACTTGCTAAAAACTTAAAGCCAAGTGGCAAGTGGCATTCTAGCCGAGCGCCAGGCACTTAAGCAAGATAAGTGGCAGCTGGCACTATAAGCCGAACGCCAGACACTTGCTAAAAACTTAAAGCCAAGTGGCAAGTGGCATTCTAGCCGAGCGCCAGGCACTTAAGCAAGATAAGTGGCAGCTGGCACTATAAGCCGAACGCCAGACACTTGCTAAAAACTTAAAGCCAAGTGGCAAGTGGCATTCTAGCCGAGCGCCAGGCACTTAAGCAAGATAAGTGGCAGCTGGCACTATAAGCCGAACGCCAGACACTTGCTAAAAACTTAAAGCCAAGTGGCAAGTGGCATTCTAGCCGAGCGCCAGGCACTTAAGCAAGATAAGTGGCAGCTGGCACTATAAGCCGAACGCCAGACACTTGCTAAAAACTTAAAGCCAAGTGGCAAGTGGCATTCTAGCCGAGCGCCAGGCACTTAAGCAAGATAAGTGGCAGCTGGCACTATAAGCCGAACGCCAGACACTTGCTAAAAACTTAAAGCCAAGTGGCAAGTGGCATTCTAGCCGAGCGCCAGGCACTTAAGTAAGATAAGTGGCAGCTGGCACTATAAGCCGAACGCCAGACACTTGCTAAAAACTTAAAGCTAAGTGGCACGTGCCATAAACAAACACACGGCAAAGCTAATATAAAAGAAAAAGAGAGAAAAGATATGTATGTACTGAAGATGAGTTGAATAGAGCACAACACATAGGGAAAAAGAGTTCTGTCGTTTCATTAATATTGAACATTGAGTTTACAAAAGAGAGATGTCCATCATTACAAGAAGATATGAAATGGAAGAATTCGAAGGAGCCCTAGCTAGACGCCTCAGTACCAACAGCATCCTGGTCGTGCCGACTCGCCTCCTCGGCCCCATCAGCCGCCTCACCTTCATGAGGTGGGGAATCAAGGTGAATGACTGAATCGTTCGGCTGGGGTTCAGCGTCAGCAGTGGTTATGAAAGAAACCACGGTTGACGATTGAGGAGCGGTCAGTGGCAGAGCGGTAGGAGGAGCTGTGATGATCCTTGAGGATGCGATGTCCTGGCACTCATCAAATATACGCTCCGCTTCGGTGGGTTCTGGGTCGACATAGACCCCCAGAGGGTCGATCCCCAGATCCTTGTCTACCTCATCCGGAGTGGAGCTGGTCTGTCCCTCATCCGGAACCCGGTCGGCGAAACCTTCCCGGAATCCTTGAGCATACCTAAGAGCACCGACCCTTGAGAACCGAGCGTGAAGGGCCAGCATCCCACCACCCACTCTGCTGATCGCGTCGATCAGAGCGGTACGCTCGTCCAGAGCTCTTTTTTCAAAAGCCATCCGAGCAGACTGTTCGTCAGCTAGAAGGCGCTGGAGTTCTGCCTTCTCTTCTCTAATTGATTCCCGCTCGGTCTGCCAGACGCTCTTCTCAAGCTGGAGGGCGTCCTTCTCATCCTGAAGGGAATCATTCTCCTTCTTCAGGACATCTCTCTCTTGCTCGGTTTTGTCAAGTCGAACCAGCACCTCGGTATTCTTCATGGCAAGGAGGTCGTTTTCTTTATTAGCCACCTCCAGGCTGTCAGAATACTTACGGGCCCTGGCGTTCCCCATCTCCACCTGCTTCTGCATGGCCATCATCCCGAACAATGTCTGCATAGGTGCACGTTAAAAACGGTTAAACCAATAGTCAGAACGGGCGAAGGCAAGACCAAGTAATATGAGAGAATTCATGAGTTAGAAAATAAAAGTCACCTCCATAGCAGATTGGGGAAAGCGGCTGAACACGTCCTTCTGGGAAAGGCCCTTTGCCGCCTCAAGGTCCTTCGGAGTCCACATGCTCCTGTAGTAGGCCATAGCGGTCTGGCCATCCTTCAGCATGGTCTCGTTCGGTTTCACGAACGTCCCATCCGTTCGGGTGTACCGAGGGGCCCATGGCGGTAAGCTGGGGATAGAAGGGGGGCCTGAAGCAGAAGCAGAGCCACCAGCTGCAGGAGGCCCAGAGGGAGAAGGAGCTCTGATCGCTCGGTGCAAGAGAGCACCCGGCCTAGAGACCCGGGTCCTTCTAATGAGAGGCTCCTCCTCAGGATCGATTTCACTGTCAGGATGAGGCCTTTTGCCTCGTTCTTTATCCCGACCGCCCCCCGCAGCAGCAGGAGCTATGGTAGCTGGGGAGGGCGCGTTCTGGTTGGCAGCAGGGGCGCTGGCAACAGGGTTAGTAGCCACTGCGCTCGGGACAGTGTCAGATATGGTGGCTGAAGAAGAAGCTGACGCTGGAGAAGAGGTCGCCCCAGCAGCGGGAGTGGCTGGGGGAGTATTTTTCCTCCTGCCAAAAGAGGGAATCTGAAGTCTGCTCATGTTATAGCCGAGTGATGAGAGCGCTAAGAGGTTGTCTGAAGTGAGGAGATCTGAGCAGGAAGGAATATCGTTCAGAACGTATCTCTTCAAGTAGTTACTCCTATCCCTGCAAACACTATAGCTCAAGTCATCACAAGGTATTCCCAAGGAGCGGCATAAGAAAGTGCAAAAACGAGGAACGCATGTTTCACAGGGGCAGTCATGTTTATGGGATTTGAATTTTTTATAGGAGGAGACAGAGCAGACACCAAAGGCGCTCGGGATTGGGTAACCCTCTGCAACCGGCGAAGACCAAGCCCCACTAATGCCCACTATGCTATCCCTCCAACCCTTTTCAGATTTTATTGTGTCAGTACATATGGACATCTTCTCGAACGGGTAGAGGTGGTAGAAGGGCTCGTTAGTACGGATCTTACTCACCTTATAGCACAGAAGGAGGTCTATGAGGTCGAGGTCCAGATTTCTGTCACGCATCAACAAGAGCATAACAGATATGATTCTAAAGAAGTTGGGGTTGACCTGCAGAGGGAATATCCCCAATCTATTGAAGACATAACTAAAGAAAGGGTGCAGAGGGAACCTAACAACATTCAATTGAAGGTTCGTGAATAAGACTTCGCCGGGCAGGAGGCCGGCGCCGGTCGTAATATTAACGTCTTGGGGGCAAACCCTAACTTCGATGTTGTCAGGAAGTCTAAGTCTCATACGAAGAACATCCAGATCTACAACCATGGTGGAAGTGCTAGAAGAATCTACAAGAGGGTAAATGGAAGCCTGCCTAAAGTAAAAAGAACGAAACTAACTTCGGAGGACTGCAAGATCGCTGGGAGAATGACTCTTGAAGGATTTCACCAGAGAAAGCTTAGCACTGTTCTAGAAAAGAGAGAGACTTGGCTGATGATGGAGACGGTAAAGGGAAGTGAAGTGGAATTCTAGAGCATTATAAAGGCGAGGGGGCCCGAGGGCCGAAGCGTCGGGAAGGCGAGAAATCCCTCGAGCCCCGGAACATTGATTCTGGATCTGACCGTCCGCTCCCCCACGTGGTTATCTCGAGCCGTCAACATCATGATGAGACGCCATCAATAATTACCCCTTATTAAATAAGGGGCAATTATGGGGGCAGTTGAGGAGGCCCCGGATGACATGGGCCAGATCCGACTTGTAAACATAGCATTCAGTCCGTACAGCTGGGCCAGCCCATAGAAGGACACTGCCATATGGGCCGAACGAGAGTAAGCCCATCAAAGGTGACCAAGGCTTACGAAGGAATAGGCCCAGATCCAGCAATCAGTAAATATCTTGTAAATATCTATAAATAGGAGATGGAATGAAATGGAGGGGGATCTTTTGGGGGTTTGAGGTGTAAGAATTCTAGAGAGAGAAAGAGGAGAAGGAATTTCTTGCATCTTCAGAGACATTTGACAAGAGAGGTTAGTAAAATTTAACAAACAAGAGAGGGGATAAGTGTATATTAACGAAACCTCAAAAAAAATAGTATACTTTACCCTAAATTTTATTAACCGTACACCTAAATAATTTCAAATAATTCATAAAATACATATTTTTTATAATAAGCAATGCGCCTAGGAATTTCTTGAAAAAGGTTGAATTTAATTTAATTAGAGAGGATAAAGTAGGTTGCACCTGTGCTCATATACAAAACCAGATGATTGGCGTACTGGTGTACTTCCATTTCACATTGACACGCCATTTGTAAGTGGTCCTCATAAACATTATTACATAACCAGACCCATTCCAACACGTGTACGCGCGTGACCAACGTTTACGGGTTCTCACCCGCTTTATAGTCTGTACCGACCGTATTTTCAAATCTTCCAAATGGGAACCTTCCTGCAGTCTTCTTCCTCAACTCCTAAGTCCTAACACATGACTTTATTAACCCAAGAAGAGTCAACCATTAATTCTTTCTAAACTTAACTACTTGATTGCCTCACACACCTAACCCCCATTATAATAATAAACCCAATTTCACCCATTCTATCAAACTCAAAATTTGATCGAACATCAACTCCCATGGCACCTATTGCACAAGCATACCAAGAGCACCTCCCGGCAGTGCCCTCATGGCTAAACAAAGGCGACAACGGGTGGCAAATGACGGCCGCAACGCTCGTAGGCCTCCAGAGCATGCCGGGCCTCGTCATCCTCTACGCCAGCATTGTCAAGAAGAAATGGGCCGTCAACTCGGCTTTCATGGCCCTCTATGCCTTTGCAGCAGTCCTAATATGTTGGGTCCTCGTGTGCTACCGGATGGCCTTTGGCGACCAGCTGCTACCGTTTTGGGGCAAGGGTGCCCCCGCTTTAGGCCAAAAGTTCCTAATTCACCGAGCCCAGGTCCCCGAAAGTAGACACTCGTATGACGATGGCTCCGAGGAGACACCCAAGATTGAGCCCTTTTATCCAATGGCCTCATTGGTCTACTTCCAATTCACTTTTGCAGCCATTACAATGATTTTACTAGCTGGCTCTGTTCTTGGTCGCATGAACATCAAGGCATGGATGGCCTTTGTCCCTCTTTGGCTCATCTTTTCATATACAGTTGGTGCTTTTAGTCTATGGGGTGGTGGCTTTCTCTTCCATTGGGGCGTCATCGACTACTCCGGTGGTTATGTCATCCATCTATCCTCAGGAATTGCTGGTTTCACTGCCGCTTATTGGGTACTATGCTTACTAAAGGCGTGTTTGGTTCAATTTTTTGACAAGAACTTTGGAAAATTGAAAATAATTGAGTTTATTCTATAAATTATTTTCATAGAATTTTCTTTATAGTTATATAGAAACCGTTTTCTATTTTTAAAATTGTCGAAATTTATTTTTTAAGTGCAGCACCTAATAATTTTGGTAGTTATGGCCGTGTTAGTTTTATTAATTTAGAAAATGTCATTGTCTTAGGTTGGGCCGAGGCTGAAGAGTGACAGGGAGAGGTTCCCACCAAACAATGTGTTACTCATGCTGGCTGGTGCTGGTTTACTATGGATGGGTTGGTCAGGTTTCAATGGCGGGGCACCTTACGCGGCCAATATTGACGCCTCCATAGCGGTGCTAAACACGAATATATGTGCAGCCACAAGCCTTCTGGTATGGACATCACTTGATGTTGCCTTCTTTGGAAAGCCATCGGTGATAGGAGCCGTTCAGGGGATGATGACTGGCCTTGTTTGTATTACTCCCGGAGCTGGTATGTTCAATTAATTATAAGTCCCCACTAAATAAAATGTCGTGTCACACTAGCTAAAAGAAATTAATATATCATATACTATTGTAACTTTAACATTTGTCTAAAGTTGTTACACGGTGATATTATTTTGTAATTGTAATTATTGAATTGATGAAATTAATGTTGCAGGGGTGGTGCAATCGTGGGCAGCGATAGTGATGGGTTTACTTTCTGGTAGTATTCCATGGTTTTCCATGATGATCCTTCACAAGAAGTCTACTTTGCTACAGAAGGTATTTTTATATTATTTATTGGATAATTATTTTCATGCGGTGCACTATAAATCAAAAAATATATTTTTTGAGTAAAGATTTAGATAAATATGTGCTCCAATTCAACAGCCGTGAATGAAGACTTCTGTTCCTTTTCCTTTTTTTAATTATTGCACGAATTTCTCTACTTTTTTCCTCCCTAACATTATATTAATATTGAAATTCTATTGAGCGGTCACAATTGAATAATAGAATTAAAAACCACAAACTACTTTTCAATGATGAATATGATTATTTTAGACGACCCAGGCCTTCAAATTCCGTTCTCATACAAGAATTTCATTTTCCCTTTAAAAACTACACATGGTCACATAGTTAGGGTCAAATACAACTCTGGTGGGGCATGTATTGAGTCCATTTGTCCATTTGGTCCAGCTGAAATTTTGCAAGGCCCCCCTTCTGCCATGTGGCCCCCTTAACCATGGTTTAGTTCGTGGTTTGTTTGTTTGGCCCAACAGGCCCCAAACATGCTCTCTCTAGGCACGGAATCCCCAAAAGCAACAGTAGCCCGCCATTTTGGGAAAGAGGGTAGAATTTCAGGGCTTTGGTTTTCGAAAAGGATTTGAAAACTTTCCGGTGATGGCTCCAAATTTTGCCAAAAAGTTAATTATGGGTTAGATAGATAAAAAGCGACCACGTGGTAAAATGATGGCCACTGAAATTTCAACTGAAATGAATAGTGAAATTGACTGAATCCAAACCCCTCTATGGTCGGGATTATTTCCAAATCCTATGATCAAATTAATGGACAACTACTTTAATGTTAGGACAGTCAAACTTGAAGACATGAATATAAAAATACTCACTTATACCTACCATCACTTATTTAATGTTGTCACATAAATAAGAATATATGATTTAATTACTGAGTGATTTGGTTGTTTTTTTTTTTTTTTTTTTTTTGTGTTAAAGGTGGATGACACCCTAGGTGTATTTCATACCCACGCCGTGGCGGGACTACTGGGCGGACTTTTGACGGGGCTATTGGCTGAGCCGGCCCTTTCCAGTCTGGTACTTCCGGTAGGCAACACGAGGGGTGCATTTTACGGTGGCAGTGGCGGCAGTCAATTCCTGAAGCAACTGGTAGCAGCAATGTTTGTGATCGGGTGGAACATCGTGTCGACCACCGCAATTCTACTATCAATAAGGCTGTTCATACCGCTCCGAATGCCTGAAGAGCAGCTCATAATTGGAGATGATGCTGTTCATGGAGAAGAAGCCTATGCCCTTTGGGGTGACGGAGAGAAGTATGACCCAACAAAGCATGGATGGCATATGTCCTCCTACGCAGGCGAAGTTGCACCATCTGGGTTCGGCATTGGTGCAAGAGGTGTGACTATTAATTTATAAAAGGTGTGTGTGATTAGGTTTAATTTCTATCCTATCCCGTCCCTTCAACATCCTTAATTAACGGGAATCATACTCTAATGATTCTGTTAATTACCATTTAATTATCTTGTTTCATGCCCACGTTTACACATTGTTGCTTTTGATACTATCTAAGTTGTGAAAAAATTCAATGTCGTATATAAAATTTTGATCGTGTTACATTTCGTACATTATAAACAAATTTATCTTATAAAGTTGGCTTTATAGAGTTGCTCATAACATGTCATTCATTATTCTACTGTTTATGAAAATATTCAGCATCTGTCTTGAAGATTCGTGCTAATTGTAATTCATTTATTTAATTATTAGATTTTTTCTTTTGGCATGAAAAAAGAAAAAGAAAAAGAAAAAAAGAGGCGGGTTTATATATATGTGTATCTATTTTATATTTTTTTAAAAGATGTGGATGAAAATTAAAGTGGATTGGATTATATAAAACATTTAAAATTGTCCGTGGAAAGTGATTTGACATAATTGACTAGGAAACTAGGAGCGAAAGAAGCAGTTGGTCAAGATTGTCACCTCGTCTATGGTCATATGCCAATGGGCGAATATTTGTTTGCGTCTCCATGCGTGACGACTCCCCCAAATTGGAATTTCATTTCTTCGTTGATTTTTCGGGCCAAATTTTAAACGTCAAGTTATGGGCTGTTTGATTATTTAATTTTGATTATTAAGTGATTATTCAATTAAGTGTGTTTAATAATGTATTTTGAATATTATTAAAAATAATGATAAATATTATTTAAAATAGGATAAAATTTTAAATAACATATTTCAATGCTGAAAATTCAAAAGGGTATAAGAAAATATTAATTTTTAATTATCATTTAAAAATTTCAATACTTAAAATTCAACTTTTTAAATTTTTAATATATTTTCAATGCACCACTTAAGTCAGGAGTATAATTCAAAATTTCAAAAACTTATTTTTTGAATTTCTGCCAACACCACTATACGTTATTAATATGATCTCATTTTCTTGCTATGGAATGAATTGCCCAGAGCAAGTTTCCCTTGTGTATACGAAATCAAAATGTTAAATTATTTTACTGTTAGGAGAAAACAGGCCTAATAAACTATTAGTATATTGTTATTATTCTTGAATACAAATATGTCTTGTCATATTTAATTGTGGGAACATGTGTGCTTATGGATATTAATTCGACCCAGACCAATAGACACTAGGTGGGTGTGTGAATCCACCATGACCTTGTCTGGGCCGAATTGGGCTGGGCTCCCTCATAATTATAAACTTTATTTTAGCTTTTATGGCCTCTTTATATATATATATAGCATATACATTAGGTATCATATTTTTGTGATGCCAGGTAAAGTGGAACAAAGAGTTCAGTTAATACCCATCTTTCATCAAAAACCAAATGAAAAATATTATTTTAATCAATTAAATAGCCCGACTTTTCAAATTGATTAAAACGCTTGATTATATATTATGTAAAATAAATGCAACGGAGGTGTTTTAGTTAGAAAGTCGAGACTATTCAGTTGATATTTTATCTCCACAATTTGATGTGAAAAAAATGTATATAAAACATCTATTAAGTTAAATTTAAACCAGAAATTTAAGCAAAACTTTAATATATGAAGGGTAGATAAATAAGGAGGATACCAAACACTGAAATGTTAGTGGGAATAAATAGTTACAACCAATAGAAATTTTGAATGGAGATTACAAAAAAGGAAAATAACTAAATAATTAAATCATAATAAATATACTATTTTAAATCATAATAAAATACTGTATTATACTGACTGTCCATGAAGCTGACTTTTTAGATTCCTACCCTTTTAGGGATCTACAATGCATCTCCAATTCAAATTCCCCAAAGAAGGTGATTCTACTCTGATATGTTCCACTTTATTTTCTTATTTTTTATTTCATCAAATACTTATTCTTTGCCAAGTGTGTCTAATATATATATATATATATAAGTCAATTCCCATCCCAATCCCTTCTCCAATGGCATCACAACTTTGTGAACCACACAATTGGATGGCTGAGATTCCGCAATTTTAGCTTTATAATGGGACAACAAAGTTATTATTAATAATAATTTAATTACATCCTGTACAAGTAACGACCACATAAGAATGATCTCCTATCAATTATCACATAAACACCTTCCGAGGAAAAAAAAAAAAAAAATGATAACAAAAACAATTCCAACATTTTAAATATCTTATGGCTGTCTTGTATTACTGTGGAAGATAATAAAAGTTGTATAAATATTCAACAATAAAAAGCCTATTACCCGGTTATTGTGTGGACAAGTGTGAAATGGCATACAGATGCAAAGCAAACAAATTTAGTGGGGTCCATTAATTTATTGTTTCATTCACAAAATTCAACATTCAGATCCAAAGCACCTCGGAGGCTTGGACTTGGCCTCATGTAGGCCTACTATATCATTAATGAGGCACTGTCCGATTAGATCTCGACTTTTGGAGGAGAATCTTTCAGAATCTCCATATCTACCGTGAAAAGCTCATGCCACCAGCTACTAGCCACAACCGTTTGATTATTTAAGAAGGGAGTCAACAGATCCTTAACAAGGTGGTCAACCATTACACCTCATTTTTCCAGCAGATGGAAAGATCTCTGCATCAAACGGTGCCTATTAATCACCTCCATTGCCACCCAACCCATGTCTTACGTCATTTCACAGCAACATAACATGTGAAGTTCCTACGTTTGTGGTCTCATCTTAATACTTGTTCATTAGATCACTTAATAATCTCTAAAACATTTCATGACATGGTTTTGTGTATCTATATAACAAGTGTTTATGCTTGACCTCAAAGAAGGGAGGGGAAGTACCTTTTCCTTTTGTGAGGTTTAGAACCAAGTCACCAAAAATGGCCAACATATCTGTCCCATTGGCATACCGGAACAACTCCGCTGTCGTACCTGACTGGCTGAACAAGGGTGACAACGCATGGCAAATGGTGTCCGCCGCGCTGGTCGGCATGCAAGGCATGCCTGGCCTTGTGATCCTCTATGCCGGCCTTGTCAAGAAGAAATGGGCTCTCAACTCAGCCTTCATGGCACTCTATGCCTTTGCAGCAGTCATGCCTTGCTGGGTCCTGTGGGCTTACAAGATGTCATTCGGCCACCGTCTTCTTCCTTTCTGGGGAAAGGCTGGCCTCGCTGTATCACAGGACTTTTTGATCCCACAAGCCTTTCTTCCTTCCACTCGTTTTGTTGATGGAAATTACACGGTCTCAGCTACTCAACCGTGGTACCCTATGGCTACCATGGTCTTCTTCCAGTATGCCTTTGCTGCTGTGACTGTCATCCTCCTTGCAGGCTCTCTCCTTGCTCGGATGAGCATCAAAGCTTGGATGGCCTTCGTGCCACTCTGGATCACTTTTTCTTACAGCGTTGGAGCTTATAGCATATGGGGCGGCGGCTTCCTCTTCCAATGGGGCATTATGGATTATTCAGGTGGTTACGTTGTCCATCTAGCCTCCGGTGCAGCAGGATTTACAGCTGCTTACTGGGTGAGTAGCAATTCATCCAAGATGAGCATAACTATAGAGCGACCACCCTTTGTGTTGTACATAAACATGACAACCCTCTTTCTCTGTGTAGGTTGGACCAAGATTGAAGGACGACCGCGACGAATTTCCTCCTAACAATCTCCTGCTAGCACTAGCTGGAGCTGGTATTCTTTGGATGGGCTGGACAGGGTTCAATGGAGGCGATCCTTTTGCTGCTAATGTCGATTCCTCCCTTGCAGTTCTCAACACCCACATATGTGCAGCAACCAGTCTTCTTGTATGGACTTGCTGGGATGTGTTGTTTTTCAAGAAGCCATCTGTGATAGGAGCAATACAGGGAATGATAACAGGGTTGGTCTGTATCACTCCTGGTGCTGGTAAGACCCCTCTTACCTTCAAATAGGAAAAGTCTTGTTAAAACATCCCCCCATTAAGAGCTTTCATTCCCAAACTATTCTTGAATTTGCAGGTCTTGTACAGGGATGGGCTGCACTGGTAATGGGTATAGCTTCTGGTACTGTTCCCTGGTACACAATGATGAGTTTGAGCAAGAAGCTGCCATTACTGCAGAAAATTGATGATACACTTGGAGTCTTCCACACTCACGCTGTTGCTGGAACCCTAGGCGGAGCCCTTACGGGACTATTTGCTCATCCAAGTCTCTGTAGCTTGTTTCTTCCAGACCCGGATTCAAGAGGAGCCTTCTACGGCAAGAAAGGTGGAGTCCAATTTCTGAAGCAGTTGGTGGGTGCAAGCTTTATTATAGGCTGGAATATAGTTGCCACATCCATCATTCTCTTGGTCATTAGAGTGTTGATACCCCTTCGGATGTCTGAAGAGGAGCTCAAGATTGGGGATGACGCAGCTCATGGAGAAGAAGCCTATGCTCTCGCTGGACAAGGAGAGAGGGAAAGATCTACAATTCGTGCTGTTGAGATGGAAATTCTCTGAATTCGATCTTGCTTTCTCTTTCTCACAAGAAAAGAAACAAGAAATCCTTCGGCAACCAATCAAATGCAGAAAAACAAAAAGGATGTGAAAGAACAACAACAATAACTGATAAGTTCAACAACACATATATATTCATTATGTAAAATTTTAGATGTTCAGGAAAAATTGTTTATCCTTGGTGATTTGAGTTGTGCAGCAAAAAATAAAAATTTAAACCACCAATGAAGCACAACTAAAGCAAGTTTTCCTAGCACCTTAAATGTGGTATTCCAAGAGTTTTACACAATCCAGAGACAGATAATAACTATTCAAAGACTTCCCAATCCTGAGTCACTTTTGTAGATGATGGCATTGGGGGCGGCGCACTGAGGCTTCCTACTCCAGAATCAAATGTTTCCCATTTGGTGGTTACTGATGCAGCATTGCTGTGGTTGCTAGCCGGATTCAAGTTTCTTGCCTTGAGGGTGTCCACTGTCTCCACTAAGCTCTGGACACGACGCACCTGCCAGGGAGTTATATGTTGATATTGCAGTCTTCATCAACAATATAAATGAGATAGATTTGTAACTAAAAAATTTATAACAGCTTATGAAAGAATCTCATGCCAGTTTAATCTGAAATTCATACCAGAAATCGATTTTCTTAAAAGCGGTGCAAGATGATGCAAAACTTGGTTGGTACATGTTTTAGGTTTGCATATTATACTACCATAGAATGTCAAGAAAGGTACAGTACAACAATAAAATAGATGCCTAGTGCTCAGTTTTAGGAGAAATTATTAGGTAGTCTGGGACCACCACCTCATATATGGTCCCGGCCAATCATAAAGAGCCACATCAGCAAAAATTAAGTCAGCATTGACCAAAATACAAATCAGCACCTTCTCTCTCTAAAACGAAGCTGGCCAGATGACTACGATGATTGGGTCACAACAGCGTTGACGGAGGACGCACTGGTGGTAGAGTTGTTGCTTCGGCTTAAGCACTCATCCATCTTATGTTTCGCCACCGGCAAATTTGCTGCCACTCAGCTTGGAACACCGACAGGCACGTTCCAGACTGCCGACGAGGAAGCAGAGGGAGCTAACGAGGTGTAGCCCCCCACCATGCCGTTTTCCTGGAGCGGTGGCGCCGCCTCCAACAGCAATGGCCGGCTGCTTGTCGGCGATGGTGTGCCTGTTTGGATCAACACCGCCGTCTTCGGCGGCGTACGGAGTGAGGAATTGCTGCTCGTCCACAATGGCGTGCCTGTTCGGAGCAACGCTGCCATCTTTGGCGGCGTACGAATCGGAGGGAGGAATTGAGTACGCCGCTTTTCTCTGTATGATTTGACAAAGCTCCGCCTCTTCTTCGCCGGCTTTGGTTTTGAGCGAGTTGTCTCCTTCAGCAGCGAGTCCACCTGTTTGATTCCAAGGAGTGATCGGAACCAACGTGCTGCTTTGCCCAGTTGCTAGTGCTGGTGGATTGAATGTGGTTCTGGATAATGGTTACGAGTGAGCATGATGAAAGAGGGATGGTTTGGGGGGCAGTGGAGTCCTGTGACCATATATGAGGTGGTGGTCCCGGGACTACCAAATAATTTCTCCAATTTTAAAGACTGGAACGTCATACCAGATACCCAGATTATGTCTTTCCCCCAACTTGAATATTTTCATCACGAAATCACTCTTAACCCCTTCACACAGCCATTCACAAGGAGGGGGAAAAAACATAGAATATAATGAGTGTACAATCCACTAACATCAGGTAAAAAATAAGGTACGCAGTGGGGGGGGTTAAGCTATCCCGTATTATCCATGATTCAGAAAACAGCAAGAGGGTAAAGAAATCAACTATTGGTGCCAATATAAGCCATGTACACTCTCCCCTTATACCAATGATTCAGAAAAATGGCAAGAGGGTAAAAAATAATCAACTCATTGAGTATATGCAAAAGAAAGGAAGAGTGAACTTCTACCAGCCAAGTTAACCACGATTTTGATTTGAAACTTCCAGAAACTATCATCTAACAATATTTCAATGAGGCAACTGACAACAACATGAAGTTGAAATATTGGAATCAGCAAACATTGACGCTTTCAACTCAATTCTAGGATACTAAGATAGTAGAAACCTTTCAACTCTCTAAAATCATTTACAACAAATATGAATTAGGACTTTAGATAGACAAAATTATTAAAGTTCTTTTAGCATATCCCCAAAAGTTCTTTTCCATCAACTACAACAAGTATGACCAAGGATATTAAGAGGGATGAAGTTGAAATATGGGAATCAGCAAACATTGATGCTTTTAAACAACTAAATTCTAGGATTCTAAGAAAGTAGAAACCTTTAGGGTCAGTTTGGTTAGCCAGAATTTGATTGTGGAAAGTGAAAGGAAAAGAAAGTGAAATGAAGGAAAAGAAAATTTAGGTTCTATTTTGCATTTGGTTAGCATGAATTTTTTTAAAGAAATTTGTGAGAAAATATTGTTTCACTAGTTTGGATAGCATGAGAGTGAAAAGAAAATGATTTTATATACCAAAACTATCCTTATTAATACAATATAAAGTACTATACATCATGCTATAGGCATAAAAAAACATATACTCCTTACAAATTTGGTAATTGAATAGTTTATTTTTTTTATACGAAGTTTGCCTTATATATTAGGACTCTATTACTGTATTAGATTAGCTCACTACTTTTGCGAGTGTGAAGTAGAGTCCTAATTTAAAGAGTCATAAAGTTGTAACCTAATAACAGAGTTCTAATGTATCGATGAAGAAAGAGAAGAATGATAAATAACTAACAAGGGCATAATAGGGAGTCAAAATATAATGAAACAACTTTCATGGGAAACTAGAATTTTTGCTTGTTTTATGAAGGAAACATTTTCTGGAAAATCAACGAGTTGCGAGAATATTACTTTCCTTCTCACGCTAACCAAACTGCTAAAAAATTTTAAAAAGTTTCTATTTATTTTCCTTTCTTGCTAGTTCACGCTAACCAAACTAACCCCAAATTAAGACTTTAGAAAGACAAAATTATTAAAGTTCTTTTAACATATCCCCAAAAGTTCTTCAAACATTTCCATCATCAACCCACCCCCCCCCAAAATAATAATTAATAAATAAATAAATCCATGACCTTGTAACAAATGTCTGTGTATTCCCACATAGCTTAACTGCTTGTGCACTTTTGCTATAATATAAAGGAATTGAGTCCAAATGACCACCTTCAGTATAATGATAAATCCAATAAATAACCATATGTGATGGCTATTTTATTGGCAGGCCAATGAAAATTTTGAGGCAAAAGAAGTGGTAATATGACCAAAGTGCATAAGATGTAAATTCTTAACATGACAACGGAGTCTAAGAGAATGCATTATGGCTTACCTTTACCATCCAGACGCCCTAACTTCAACTTTGCTTATAACCATAGTGCTGTGTTTACTAAATTATTCTCTAACATAATAGTATTTTAATATATTCTATTATTTGTATTACAGAATATGGATCCATATATAGTGGTTTTTTTTTTTTTTTGGTAAGTAAAGACTAAGCAATTATATTCTATTGCTGGCACATAATCTGCGTATTTACAATCTGAAAGAAATTATATACCCCCCCACACACCAAAAAAAAAAAGATCAAAACAAAAACAAAGTAGTACTGAATCCACCAAAGAAATGATCCCACTTAAGTAGATAAAACAAATAAAAACTGAAAAAATAGCATATTAAAGAAGTAATTACTGTCGTAATGCTATCTAATCTCAGCAACTGCCTCATTAGCAACTTCAGTGGCATTAAATACTAACCTCAATCTTTCGCTGCAATCTCCCTTCTCCTTCAGCCTCAATGCTATCCAATTTCAGCAGCTGCCTCATTAGCAACTCCGATAAAACAATGAATTCCTTCTCCATGACCTTGGTCCCACCATACACAACTGCTTCCAAAGCACCCACCTAGACAACAAAATAGCCCAAAGAAGCCTCCAAGTCACCATGGGAAATGATAATTGTAAACAAATGTATACAAATGGATCTACCTGTTCCGAAAGCTTATCAATCTCTGCTCTGACTTCAGCAACAGCTTCACAGCCTCGTGATGACTCAATGCTTCCCTTCACCTCTTCAAGTTTCTTTTCTTTGCTTGCCAAGTCCTCCATGAGTAACAGCTTTGCATTGTCCTTGACGCCTGCCATGTGCAGATAATCGTGATCTTCTTTTTCCTTTCCTCTAAACAGCAGTCTCTGCTCCTTAGGCTCCAAACTGGTTTCTTGGGCAATTAACTTTTTCAGATCCCCTTTCATCAACATAAATCAAATTAAATAACCATGAAACACCTCCAAGATGGTAAGTGAAGAATTTGACGAACTTATGATATGTGTCATAATTTAGGCTGCACTTGATTATGTATACATTTATGGATAGATGATTGATTTCATCCTCTTCTCTGCTCCATGATAACCCCAAGTTACCACAAAACCAAGTCACCAGCTTCTATTTTAGCAGATTGAGTATCAAACTACTACAACACATCTGTTGTCCCAGTACACCCACTGTTGTGAGTTTAGCACCGAATGCAGAACACATGAAAAATTGCAGATGTATGGTTGGGATAATTAATTATACTTCATTTGTAAACCCTCAAAGTAGTCAATTTGGTAAGATCTCCTTTATTTTTAGCTCTCTCTGGTGTTCCATAAAACTACTTTGAGAAGAAGCAATCGGTACAAAATGCTTCCATTGAAAGTAAATCTGGTGTAACAGAAACTACTTTTAAAAACAAGCAATAGCTACAAGATGCTTCTTTTGTAAGTGAAGCAAAGCAGGCATACACCAACCACAGAGAGAAATGAAACCAGATGATTCAATACATTTATAAAGGAAGAAAAACTCAACTGTCTTAAATTACAAGGTAATATATAGACCTATATATGAAGTTTGCATATTGAACATCAAATGAACTTCTTTACCCAAAAAAACTAAACCTTTAATAAAATAGAAAGTAAAAAAAGTATACAAACAATCAAGCATATATACAACGACCTAAAGATTTTAAAGTGGTCAAGATCTCTGCATCAATTTCCAGGGAAAAAAAAAAAAAAAATTTCTCTGCATCAAGCTTATATTTTATGGTAATTGGCAAAACCCACTTTAAATCCTTCCAATTAATGAACTGTAAACATTACGCATATATATATATATCAATCTCACACATAAAATATCTATACATTAAACAAACAATATATAGCAGTTACATTTTCAACAAATCCACAACAAAATTTTACCATACATATAGGAAAACGAAAACTACCAGCTTTAGTAAATCGACAGCATAAAACCAGTTTTAATAACAAGATTGTTTTATAATTGACCTACAAAAGGGAGAGAAGCAAGGGAAACGATAAACACCAAACCAGAATAGAAGCTCATCCCAAATTAAAAACCCATTACCACAGACACATATGTGTTAGGTTCAGTTCGTTTCTGGGAATTCCTAAAAAATTAGTTTCCATGTTAAAGCATGTATTGCGTTATCATCAGTCAGGCTTTCCCGAAAACTAAACGGAGTCAAAGAGCAGAAAAGAATCCCCAACACGAAAAGTTCCCGAAAGAAGAATTACCAAAAGTGGATTGAGAAGGGACGGTGAGGTCGTAGTGGTTAGACCCATGAGAAACCTTGATCTTGATTGTGGACCCACCAACACCATCATCGTGATGATCGACATCATCATTACCATCTTCTCTCTTCTGAACAAGCATTCCACCGGGTCTCACCTCCCACTCGGTCTCTTCATTGCTTTGGACACTTTCGACCCCTCTCGAATTCGACCCTTTCATCTCCAATTCTCTTTGAATCCCTGAAGTGTGAGAGCAAAAGGGTTTGCAGAGTTTTGACTGGGAACGTTCACTGAGCAATCAATGAGGACAGGGTTTTGAGAGGGGGGTGTAGATTAGAGTCTTTCTTTTCAAAGAGGGTCGGTGCGTATGTAGTCGGTTTTGTCCGATAGTTATCACGGGAAATATTATGATGGGGGACAAAGTGATTTCGCCAAAAAAAAATAATAATAATAATAAATCACTTGTACATGAATAAATAATTTTTTTTCCCATTAATAGGGAAAGAAAATAACGAACTGTTGTTACATAATCAATATCTTTACTTTATACATGAAAATTAATTACAAGGGAGGTGTTTGATTTAAAATTTAATAGTTAACATGTTGTTTGATACAAAAAAAAAAAATTTACTATTTCTATCTTATTTTAATTGTCCTTTTGAAAGTTTAATTTTTTTTAAATCATAATAATTTTTATTATTTTTTATTATATTAATAATAATATAATGTGATTATTTACTTTTTATATATTTAATATAAGAAAGGATGTGTAGTGATGGTTTCCCTTGCACCTAACTTTCCAATCTCGTTAATCATTGCTAAACTATTTTTTTTATTATTATTATTTTTTTATATATATATATTTTTTAATATTGAACTTCCTGACACCACTCACCGTTGTCAGGTCCCAAATATATATATAAGTAGTTTAAATTCGTAATACGACAATTACTCCCGTCCCGTAAGTAGCATTTTCTTTATTCTTCCTCCAAACGGTAAACGTGCAACATGCGATGTTAGAGTCAATAGATAAGACCTATGTGCAATGTTAAAAACTTTGAATCAAAAAGTAAGACCCGAAATGTGAATGTAACTAACCTAAAAATATACATCTGTATATATATATATATATATATATATATATATATATATATATTTAGTTGAGGGTGATTGTTTTATAAAATTAGCCCTTATTTTTATATATTTGACATATTTAGTTATTTGTTAATTTTTTATACTAACAGTTAACACACTTTGTCACCTATTATTGTCTAGCTTCGTGCCTTGGACTTGTACAATTAGTTCCCTTTAAAATATGAAGAAGATTTCCCTAAAATTAACAATTTTATTTATTTTTGTTCGATTAAATAAATACTCATACACAACCCTATCACTCTAATAAAACAACGATTATTATTATTATTATTTATTTTTTTATTTTTATTTTTTTTCTGGTCGTAGTCTCTCTACGTAGGAAGGGTTATCACATCAGGCATTACATCTATGTCCAATCTTATTCCTGTGAATCGGTAAAAATTGAATCAAATTCAATCCATCGAATTGGATTAAATTAATTTTACAAATTGAACTCTTCTAACAAGTCCTTTTATTAAACAGATATTTGACCATGATCTAATGAAAATCAATACAATGGATTAAATTAATTTTAAAAATTGAACTCTTCTAACAAGTCCTTTTTTAAAAAGATATTTGACCATGATCTAATGAAAATCAATAATTGTATGTAAATTTATAACATGAGTTAAAATTAACTGATTAAATATGAAGTTACAGAGAAAATTAATATTTCCTCCGTCCCAAATTAAGTGTCACCTTAATAACTGTGACAGTATAAAATATGCAATAAACAACGACTTTAAGAAATGGAGTTACTCAACCACCTAGGTGACTACTATTCACAAGTAGATATCAAGTGAACACCCTTTCCAAAAATAAATAAATAAATAAATAGGGATACAGACCAAGAAACAGCAAAAGCCATAATTATTACTACGTATATCCAATCATTCCTTTGAAAATCTTTGATTATTGAGACCATATTTATTCAAAAAAAATCTATTTTTGGTGCACGAAGCGAGTTCTCTTCTATCAAGGAGGAGAATGTTTTTTTTTCAAGTTGTGGCTTTTTATAGGAGGTGAGAAATTATTGAAGATAATTATGTCAAAGTTTTCCTCAACATAATAATAATAATAATAATAATAATAATAATAATCCTCTTCGTGCTCACCTTCTATTTGCTTTTCGGTAAATTAACTGTGTTTATAAAGAAAGAAAATCTATCCAGGTGCATGGAGCATAGCCCATGGCCACCCAAAAAAAAAAAAAAAAACAACCCACCTTCTTAGAAGGTACAATAACCCTTAATCTCTTAACACCTTTTAGCATCTCAATTGTAATTGAAGACATGGTTAAATGCATTTTTGTACCCCGAGGCTGGAGTGACAATTTATGTTCGTGGGTCATAATCGTGTCGTGTCGTATCGACATAAGATATTCTATTAAACAAGATAATCCAAACCTAAACTCAACCCATCTAATATTCGTGTTAGTACCTTCAACATTAACCTAACCAATTTATTAAACGAGTTACACGTATTAACCTGTTTAATGACTTATTTACTGAAATGAGATATTTAATATTCAATTAAACAATAAATACTAAAAAATAATGTCTCAATTAATCCAAATATTTAAAGCAAGAAAATAAAAACATCAAACACCACCTAAGTAAATAGAATACAAATGTTCAAATAAAAAATCATAAAGAGTATTCAAGATTTATGTTGAAATGACTTAATTGTTCATAGTAATTGACTATAAACATGTAATATATTACTCAGATCATATTGACAATTATGACATGTTGAGTTAAATAAGTATAAACGAGTTACATGACTTGAACCCCTCAACTCTAATCTGACACCATTAAATAGACGGATTAATCGTGTCAATTCGTTTATGACCCAAACTTATTTAAGATCAATCCAAACTTATTTATCTTGTATTATGTTCGAATCATGTTAACATGTCGTGTCATATTTTGCCATCCCTACCTCTAAGTGTGTCAAATTCTAACCATGCTTTTGAACACCTACCTCTAGCCTATCAAATTTTAACCATGCTTTTGAACATTTTAGACTAGCTGACCAGCAGTGAAAAAAAAAAAAAATAAAATAAAAAAAAATAAAATAAAAATAAAAAGGGACTAGCTGACCAGCATTAGAAGTGATTTAAAAATGGAATATATATGTGTGTGTGTGTGTATTTAAAAAGAATAAAAAAAAAAAATAGAATTCATAATTAACACAGCTGCTCAATGGATCATTTTCCATATATACTAACAAAATAAATTAAAAACCGCCAAACATTAAAAGAGTACAAAGAAAAAGAGCCAGAGAACTTAATTAGAACAAATGCAAAGTAGATCGAAACTGGCCGTTCGATCAATTAAAACACACATGCATACACACAGAAATACAGAGAAGATCGAGTTGGTACGTCCATCCAAAAGTCATGTAATGATCAGAATATGGCAATCAAGACTGCCTCCCCAAGCACATGTCCTTCAATTGCCTCCAACACTTTCTCCTTTGTCCACATATATCATATCACAAATTAAACCAATATATATATATAACTTTTCAAGGTCAATTGGTACATTTAAAAAAGGGTTAATTTGATGCTCATCTTTAAAATTTTTAAAAAGACATACAATTAATGTATTATTTTTTTTAAAAATTATCAATTTGTTCCTTTTATTTTAGATAATTATAATTATCAAGTTTAAAATTTTCTCAAAATATAAAAAACAACTATAAAAAAATAAGATTTATTTACTTTAACTTTTCAAAGTCAATTGGTACATTTAAAAAATGGTTAATTTAACCTGTATTTCCTGACGTTTGCCTATATTACACACACACCCCTTTTGTATTTCATAATTTCACCTACACCCCCTGTCAGTAACCACTGTTTAATTTATTTACTAACAGAAATGTGTAATTTTATTATTTTACCCTTAAATTATATATTAAAATTTATAACTCAATGAAAAAGACTTTTAAGACCTCAGTTTAAATTAAATTTCTCTCTCTCTCCTCACACACACATTATATATATATTTATTTCTTTATTTCTTTTTTCTTTTTCTTTTTTTTTCCCTTTCTTCTTCATCGTTGCCGGCGAGCCCACCGGACTGAACTGACCTTCACTGGACTTGGGATCGCCGTTGTCTTTGATCCGGCTTACCTCGTTCTTGTCCAGCGTTACGACGGTGAGTACACGATTCGACGGAGTTGAAGTCCGGTGTTTGGACTGAACTGAGGATTCCTCCTTTTTCAGTCCGGCGAGCAGCGATTCAGTTATGCGAAACCCAATTCAGCGATTCAGTTGTTCTGAAAGCTAGAACGAACTAAGTTCGACCAAACCCAGTTCAGTCCGGTGAGCAAAGATTCCTCAACCCACCTCGGTGAAACCCAATTCAAAACGGCCATAGACACACCAGAGCTCTACAGAAGAATTCGGCCTAGCTCTGTAACTTTTTCACCATCCGAACAGCTCGATGGCATCGTAATCGGCGACAAAAATCAGCATCTCGTGCTCCGACGGGAGACTAGACCCAACCTTTACAACCTCTCCAACATTGCGCTGTTGATCAACATCGTCGGCACCGGAACCCTCGATCTTGACTTTCTGGTATATATATATATATATATATATATATATATATATATAATGGTATATAACATCACCCACATGATGGCATGCACATGGAACAATTCCACATGATGGCATGCACATTGCACAATTATTCAGGGGACAAAAAGTATTTTAAGTGGAGGTAGGCCAGTTATGCTTGGATTTTCTCTCTCTATTTAATCATTCTTGGGTTGGATACATGCATACCAGTGTGTGGATAATATCTATAAGGTAATAATCTTTTATTCATAAAGTGAATAAGAAATTCAACTATAGTTATATTCATGGATGAAATTTTTATTCATTGATGATTAACAGGACTATTATATAAGCCTCTACCCTTGGGCAAACTGAAAAATATAATATAATTAAAAATTTAAAAAGAAATTAAATTTAATTGCACCATTTAAATTTATTAAAATTAAAATTTTATTTTTTAATTAAATTAATGAATTTGTGTGTGGAAGGAAGAAGATGATATATGAATATATATTGAAGTGAAAGGTAGGGTATTTTTGTACACTTGAGTTAACAAATTAAGGACAGTTTTGTAATTGTGTATTGGTGAACTGAGGTTAAAGATGTCATTTTAGACATTAGAAGGGTAAAATTAACTTTTTAACAATTTATTAATGTTGACATCAACACACACTGTGAACTACTTAACGGCAGGGGTAATTTGCTACACAAACCAAAACTTTAAGAGAGGTCGGTGAAACATTAAAACGTATAAGGAGTATTAGTGAAATATGGATAAACGTCAAGAAATGTAGGTGGAATTAACCCTATCCAATTACTAATAAGAGAGAGATATTATATAGTTGAACACTTTTTTAGTTTATGGTACGTACCTTGTGCCCCAGATGCAAGTCATCATCCAGTGCATACAGCTTGAACTCGAACCGGTGTCCATGAGAGGGCAGCTTAGGCCCACGCCACCCCAGAACCTTGTAATCATTGTTTCCTTCTTTGATGCCGGCATAATCGCCGCCCACCTCCTCCTCCTCCTTCCCGGAGAATCCCTCCGGCAGGCCCTTCAAGGTGGGCGGTATGTTGACCACCACCCAAACGGTCCATGGCACGATGGGCCCACGTGGATCAGGAGCATCTATATCCTGCACTACCAAAGCTAAGCTCTTGGTTGCTTCTGGGACGTTGTACCATTCCAACGGTGGGGATAGGTTCTTTAGGGCACCCTGCCCCCCAGGTGTACTTCCGGGGCAGTCTGCCCTCTTTGTTTATACTAGGCGACACTAGCTTGAACTCTTCACCCATGGATTCAGCTTAATTTCTTCACTTTCTTTTCTTCTTCTTTTTTTATTTTTATTTATTATTTAATTTTTTTGGAAAAGTTTCACTTTCTTTTCTTGCCAAACTCAAGTGAGTTGATGAATATGTCTACTCAAGTGAGTTGATGAATATGTCTAGTTAATAATGTATGTATATATATATATACCACACGTGGCAAAACAAGTTTCGTGTTGTCAAGAGAAGGTGCTTGGTTTGTTTTCTGGTGACAAGTGTCCTCACACATGGCAATTCGTGTAGGGTTCTAGAATTAAAAGAAGCATTTCAATTGTTGATGCGGAAGCAATAAAAGACTTGCTTTACTTCCAAGAGAGAATAAAATAATAGGGTATATGAAAGAAAAATCTAAAGTGAAACACACTCGACTTTTTCTTACCTTCTATAAAGCTTTAAAAAATTACATAAGAGGAGACTATTTACCATTCATCATTTTAATTTCTCTTAAATTTAGAGCATGTGCTTAATGGCATTCTCAACATTTTATTCTTAGAAGATTTGTTGATTAAAATTTATAAAATAATAAATTTGTCATTCTTTTATATAAAATATAATATATTTTGTAATATATTATTATAATATAAGAGTATTATTAATTTTTCACATTCAAAATTACTTTTTAGTCACCTCTAAACACGTGAAGGAAGGTCAAAGTAATAAATGCTGAATAATTTACTCGTGTATAATTTGTCCAAATTTCAGAAAAAGGTTAGTGAAATTTACTTTTTTTTTTTTTTCTTTCCTAGTTTTCCTTTTGTGAGGGAATCAAAAGTTATTTTACACTCCTTTTGGTGTGAAGGAAGAAAGAGGGGTGAAGGGAAAATAGGAAGAAAGAAATAAAATTTCTTTGTTTGGTAGAGAGGAGATAAGGAGAGAAGATAAAAGAGGATGGATAGGTCATCCTTTCTTCTTCCTAAATTTTCATCCCTTCAAAAGATACGGAGAAAAAAATGCAAGGCTATTATAAATATTTTTAAATTACAAAACTTTCTATTTTCTTCTTTCCTAACAAAAAAAATAAAATATTGTTTTATTTCTCATGATATAATCTCTTTCCTAGAGATATGTCATTCATCTCTTCTAATTTCCCTTCCATCTAATTTTCTTCCTTCCTACCAAAGGAGCATAAAGGAGTTGACATTGGACCACATTAATATAAAAACATAATAAAATGAACCAAATTAATCAAAAGGACTTAAATATTAATTAAAAAGATTTTGTTCAATGAATTTGATATATATTTTTTGTTTAAAAAAGAACAAGATTACTTGAGAAAAAAGAATTACACAGTTCATATTTACAATGGAGAAATCAGTCGAATTAAGGGGAAAGAGACTTGGAGGGGATAGATGCATGTCCTTCCTTTCATAAGGCTTGTGTTGCTCCAAGAAACCTTGTTGCATTTGGGTCGACCTTCAAGTCATGAACATGAAACTAATGTTGGGTTAAGTTCGACATCAAGCCTGTTCACAGAAGATTAACAATATTTAGTATGGGCCAGTCTCTGGGTATTGTCAGACTCTCAGTATGTTTACAGCAGCCCAAGTAAGCGCATGTGTTTTTAATTTGGTCCCCCTTTAACACTGGATCCAAGCCCAAAAGAAAAACATCAAGCCCAGTTCCAATCCTTCAACAGAAGAATGTCAGTAAAACATAGAGAGAAAAAACTATTTTAAAGTTAACAATTAACAAGACATAGATAAACTATTTTCTTGATTTCAAAGAGCATAAAGAGAAAAAATTATGAAGTATTTTCTTGTATGTCAAAGATTATAATGGTGTGTTGGAGTAAAGTTGCACTATCTCATAAACATCTTTGAGAAAGAAAAGTCCTACTGTATACGAAGGCCCAATTCCGCAAATCTAACTTCCTTAATTTTTGAGGGATAGTTTAGTAATTTAATACACTTATTATATTGTTTTAGTACGAAAATATTTATTCATTATGAACTTTTTCTATCTTATATAATTAGTATATATTTTTTAACATTATAGTAAAATTCATGCAACCCAGCTCTAGATCATGGCCTGACCATTGAAATTTTGTAACCATTCTCTTTTTTTATACAATATTTAACTTCCGAAAAAAAAAAAAAAAATTTAAATGCTATTTGATATCTTTTTTATGTTATTTTTAATTTAATTTCACAACAATTATTACTCTATTTTAACTTTTCTTCATTAATTTTCATTAAAGCTTGATTTAGTTCACAAAGAACACGTTGCATGGGGATTTGGCACCTTATTCAAGTGACATTTACTAATTACTCTGTACTCTCTATCTCGCAGAAATAACTGAGTTAAAAATGTATATTGGTCCCCTATTAGAAACTAGCCAACTCCTTCAAAAGGGAACCGAGTTACATAGACCTTTCTAATCGTATCACATTAAAAGTAATGGACTTAGACTCTTGTAATTTAAGAAAAAGTATTGAGTGTGTGGGGTGTACTGATTTATTCAAATTGTATGTACCGTCTACATGCAACATTTGTCTGTACGACTTGAATGAGTTCGTGTATGATGCACCCGGTGCAGTTTAGATGCTGATAAAGTGATAATTGATGAAACAAGGGATGAAAGAAAGAAGTAGAACACTTTTTGCTTTTGAAACCATAGCATTATTGTACCCTCAACCTTTAATAAAGCTAATCCAGAAACGATAGATCAATAGGGATCATGATAAACAATCAGTTTTGAATTGATCACATTCAAGAACAGTCCTATCATCAGATATATATATATATATATATATTGAAGAATACATACATAAATGGGAGTTCGTATAAAATAGGTCTCACGCGTTTTGCCAGTAGTCTGATTTAGCAATGTTGCTTCAATTGGATCAGCGTCCCATCCAATCATCCTTTCCAACACTTATCACTGACTTTAGGGCACTTGAAAAGTCAGATCGATCTCACTACAACCCCCACATATATATAAATATTTGTACTTACTGTTACTTTCTTGCAAACGTGTCATCTAACTCCACTCCCAATTTCTAGTTACACATGTCTAACTAAATTTGTTACCCCATCACCGCTATTTCAATACAATTCCATCTCCTTGTTACATCTTTATTATATACATGTATGCTCCAGTAATCAGCTGGATCAATTTTTAAATTTTATAAGTATTAAAACGTATTGAAATTTCGTTATTATTTTTAATTTAAATACATTTAAATCATGTTTTAATACATTTATTTGATGTGTTGAAATATATAAAAAAAAATGGGTCCAAAGATGATTTAAATAGGTTGAAAAAACACTACAGCGGACTCTTTAATGTATATATACGCATATACATATATATATATATATAGAGAGAGAGAGAGAGAGAGAGAGAGAGAGAAGTAGAGAGCGTGTATGTGTCTGAAGAAGCAGCTAACAACAGTTAAGCCTGAATTCACTGTAAACTAAGAAGGGTTTACAACTCATGCGAATGTGAGTGTAAGTTGCATCAACACTAAAAGCAAAACAACCTGGCACAGAAAATGACCAGTCCAGAATTTACCTACTATCTGTCACAGTACAGTAACTTGTCTTGGTTTTATCTTCTTTTGATATGGTTTTGTTAAACAGTCTTATCAAAATCTCAATTTAATTAGTACTCCGATGATGATGATCATATATATATATATATATATATATAGACACACACACACACACTTTATGTATCATCATGTGGGGGTTGAAAAGTTGTGACTGATGTGTGGGGTTGAATATTTGTTTTGAATAGACAGGTAAATCAGGTTCTCTGAGTTCAACAAGTTACAATAAGTTTTAACCACTCCCCAACGTGAAACCCGGATTCACATGTGCCTTTTTTCCTAGTGAAATGGGCCCACCTTAATTACCATATAAAGTTAGAACAGAATGATGAGAACATCAACAGTTTATATGTTTCAGCCAACAGTGTTAATCCTAGGGAAAAATAGATTGTACATGGTACAATAAGCAAATATTTTTGTTCCTAGCTTCGATTTTGGACTCACCAGCCTTGGCCTACTATATGATACATCAATTTCAGGGGAGCTTAGGCTCAAGGGAAGCAATTAAATTACTACTAGCATTTAAGTAATTTTAAATAAAAGAACTTCTAATTTAATGCAATGAAAAACGGTGACAATTGAGCTGGTTTTGGACAAATACATATATATATATATATATATACTCGATTTTATTTTTAGTGAGAGAGATCAAGATCATATTATTTAAATTAATGTCCATCGGTCATATATAGTTATTTTTGTTTGGAAGGAGCAAGGAGAATCTTGCAGGAATTAAAAAGAATGGGTATGGTACAATAAAAGCTCGGCAAGAATTTGGTGGCCCTTGTGTTTGGACTCTGGACTTGTCTGCAAATTTCATACATCCACTTCGATTCAAGGAAGGTCCCCCTTTCCTATCCCAACCCTACAAAAGGTCACTTTCTCTTTCTCTCTCTCTCTCCCTCTCTATATATACACATATATCATATTACATTAATGGTCGGTCACGTTACATATCCATATATAGGAGTATATGTTTATATACAAAAGCAAAGAAGGCAAAGTAAAAACTTTATTTTCTTTGGGATTAACTTGAAAGAAATCGGGATAATAACCACAACTCTTTCAGTGAATTTTCTGTTAATTGCATGCTGCATGAGAATAAGAAGATTGCATGTATTTGTTAGCATACAATAGAGTAGGTTAAATAAGTCCAGTAACACCATTGGTCAATAAATAAATAATAATAAAAATAATATAGAGAGTATTAAAAAATAAATAAATAAACGAAACTATTGAAAGCATTTTGCTGTCCTAGGCCTTAGGGGTTCTTCTTTCTCGACATCTCTATACACTAGGGTAGACACTCGAATCCTCTCCCAGATATCGACTGACTAATATGACATATATGTCCTGTTTAAAATTACATATATATATAAATGACATATATGACGATATCACAGCATTTAATCATAGTGTATTATATTACTCCAGCCAAAGTAAGTTTCACATTCTTTTCGTTAACTTTAGGAGAATTTGAAAATATATTGGTAAATAGCTTCTTAAAAAAAAAAAAATTATGTCCTTATATTCTGATTATACTAAAATAATAGTTCATATAAAGCATCCCAATAATAATTTTAATAATAGTTCATCGAACTGTTTTATTTTATTTTATTTTTATTTTTATAGTTGACCCTTAACATTTTTTGTAAACTAATGCACAGCATGCAACCATTAAATATTCAAAACTAATCCTTAAATTAAAATTTTAGGTTGATTGTTAATTTAAAATATATATATATATACACACACACACATACACATAAGTTTTGTTCATTAAGTTTTCAAAAAGAAAATTTTATTTTCGGATATACTTATGGAAATATTAGAAATAAGTGCATTAAGAACTTAAAGTTACAAACATGGAAATCAAAATCAAGTGTTTATATGAAATTATGAATAAATAAGGAAAATAATTACTTATACATGGAAAAAAAAAACACAAATAAGAAAAATAATTAATTACATATGCATGGATAGCACAGCTCATTTATTTTAACTGAACAAATTGCCCAAAAGGGACCATTAAGAGAGAAGGAAAATAATTTCAAGACAGATGAGTTAAAATGATTTGTTTGACGACAACTTTCGATTAGTCATGTATTTAATACATATTTTTTGAAAAAATTGTATTTAATACATCAATATATGACTTTTAATACGGTTGCATCTGTAGTACTTTTGTTAAGGACTTTTTTTATGCATGAACATTTGCGCCTGTAACTTTTTTTTTCCCCTTATCTCTGCATTTTGCAAATTGAATTTGATATTTTCCATGTATTTGTAATTTATTGTTCTTCATTCCGCTAATTTGCTATTTTCCCAATATTTATTTTGGGACGTGCTGTCAACTTAGCCAATCTCTCTCTAAACCCCTTCTATATATAGCCTATGAACTGAGGTCTCATTTCATTCTCTGTCATTCTTGTCTCAAAAACTAGTGAGGTGCTAGAAAGGGTGAATATTTGAGATATCACAAAATGAACTACTTTTCCAGCTCTTGTAACCCTAATTCTTCAGAGTCTTCTTCAGCTGCAAACAATAATAATGGGAAAGAGAAGAAGAAGGGTGGTGGTGGTGGGAAGAGAAGCAGCAAAGTGGTGAAGCTGTCGACTGACCCACAAAGCGTGGCGGCACGGCAGAGGAGGCACCGGATCAGTGACCGGTTCAAGATCCTGCAAAGCTTGGTTCCTGGTGGGACTAAGATGGACACAGTGTCTATGTTGGAAGAGGCCATTCACTATGTGAAGTTCCTCAAGACTCAGATATGGCTTCATCAGACCATGATGATGATGAACTTCATGGATGATAATAATGACCCATCATCTCTTGTGGTGGACCCTCAATCTAATTCTCTACATTCTCATGATCATCGAAGCCTCCATTCAGGGACTAACTATAATTTGGTGGGTCAAGTACTTCAAGGGTCACCACAATTGCCTGACCCTAATTGCTTCCAAGGTGACGAGACTAAGCCTTTTAATCCACCTATCAACTACTAGCCTCTGTGCGTGTGTGTGTACGTTGATTAAAAGGGTCATATCATGAATGTGGTCAATCAAAGATTAGGTATTATAATGCTAGTACTGATGTATTCAAGAACAACTATGATTACCATATCTAGCAAGAAAATCTTCGTGTGGCTTTAGAGATGAATTGAATATGATCCAACATGTAGTATTGCATAAACAAGTAGGATTGATTTGCTATCAAGACTCTTTGATCATGTGAAGTTAATTTCTATCATGCATGTGTGTGTGTGATTATGACTATATATTTGGCCCAATATGTGATCTCAAAATGCATATTGACATTAGCCTACATATTTGAGATGTAGTTGTGTGATTTGTGTGGACTGATCCAGGTTTATTATTTATAGTAAAGCGATTATCCTACTATTTTTTGAATCATATCATGAATAAAACTAAGTACTATAGTAAAGTAATATTCTTGCATTACTATCTTCTTTTTTTTTTTTTTTTGGGTAAATTATTCTTGCATCACTATCTTTAATTTGCACAACTCAAACTCCCTTAAGTCGCTATCCTACTAATTTTTCAAATTTTTTTTTATCATACCAACTCTATTGTATAACTACATGTCTATTTAATGATTTACGAGTTTGATGAAGGCATTCCCATAAGTTTAAATAGAAATTTTTTCTTACAAAGTTACAAGAAAATTTATGTGTACATTAGGAAGTATAGTTGAATCTTAATCTATGCATATCATATTATATCCTATTTAAATTATTCAGCTTGTAAGGAATCGCGTGTCCACATGTTATACTTAGTACTACTCCATATATTATAGATTTATATATGCATAGGAGATATTTTTTTTATTTTACTTTTCCACAAGAAATTTTATTGACACAAACGGACTCTCAAGATAATTAAAAAATCTTAAGTCACATATGAGCATTTTCTCGTTCTTATTTTTATTACTTGGGACTTAATTTTACTGTTTTTGAATTCTCACTCTTGAATTTACTGTCACTTTCGCCTTGTGTTACTTAAATTAGGTAAATTTTATACCGAGAGCTAGCAACGTCACTTAAAAGAAAAGAACACAAAAAGATACCACTTCTCTCCTTTCTGTGCGCTTCACATAAAATAATTAAAACGATTAGGAACCAAATAATGCAAAATTTCACCATCAATCCTTTCCAACCACCAAATTGAGCATCAATGAGGAATCCGACAAGGTGAGTGTGAAGTGTTTAAAAAGTCCAACAAGATATGTGAGGTGTTTGATTGGAAATTGGAATTAAATTAAGTAAAACAGAACTTCTGAATATATTGTCACATGTGGATCCAAGAAACTTGGTATGTATATATGAAACAGTACTATCTCGACGTACGTTTTATAGATTTCACTTCACATAATTGGAAAAAAACAAAATAAGAAGAAAAAAGAGGCTAGAAAAGGCATGATTGGTCCAGTTTGGTCGACAATCTTTTGAAGATTGAGTAAAAAAAGTTTTGATTCAAAGAACAGGTCTTTAATTTATAATTATCATGTTTTCAGTGGCAAATGAGCCAAAAAATTTGGATCTTTTTGAGGTAGATGATGATTGATAATTGGACAATATTTGGATTATTCAATGCGTCAAAATGTTAATTCCATAAAATTGGAACATTGAGTGACTAAAAGAACCCATATATCTATATATATATATATATATAGTAATAGCAGTGTTCAATTGTTTCTCAATGAGCAAGAAAATATATATATATATATATATATTAGTGTTCAATTATTTCTCCGTGAGCATGAAAAAATATGCTCACTTTCAATTATAATCTTAAAATCTAATCACACCATTAATATAATACTTGTACTACTGATATTATTTGAATTAGTAAGTAATAACAATTGAAGTAAAATGACAATAGTAGTCAGTTTCATAAAAAAGAAATAAATAAATTTTGTTTGATATAACTTTTTAAGATTTGATTGATTAACCGTGAATGGAAGAATATCATTTTATGATATTTTTTTTTTTTGAAAGATAAAAAGTTAAAGGAAGAGTATAATAAGAAAAATTTATATATATATATATATATATATATATATATATATATAGGAAGTTAAAGTTGATGGTGTATGTGTATAAGGTGATAATTACAAAAACAGGCTAAAAGCCCAAAAAAAATTGACAGGCCCATTGAACTGAAGCCCGTAGCATAACAAGGACTAAAGGCACTCTCTAAAACCTTTCTCAGGCACAAAGGCAGTTACAGTCCACAAAACCCATATAATTGATATTAAACACTATTTAGATGTTTTATATATAGGTCTGGATTAAAAGAGAGAGAAAACAGAAAAATGAAGTATTAATTTGGATTAAATTGGACTGTCCTTCATTGAAGCACCTTTTTTTTTTTTTTTTTTCCTGGTAAAAGATACTGAGTAAAATATAATAAAATCAAGCACCCACTTCAACACAATCAACTAAAACTTAATTAAAATTTTTTTTTTTCCTAATTGGGTACTCACACACACATGCCTCCACTGAGACTCGAACCCCTGACCTCTCTTTGAAAAATAGGGACTTGGTACCGCTAGGCCACTGGCCTATTGGTAAACTTAATTAATTAGATAGAACTATATATATATATATATATATACACACACACACACACACACACGAGTAGTGATAGATGGGCCGATGATTTTGGCAGATTAGTTTGGCAATACTCATGGCAGTCCAGGTAAGCAACTTTAACAATTAAAAAAGGAAAGAAAATAAAAGGAGAAATAGTCCATAGATTCATCTTTCCCTCAAATTTTAGGCTAAGTTCTTCTTTTTGATAGTTATCAAATTCTCCCTCTTCGTTTTCCAAAAAAAAAAAAAAAGAGAGAAAAAACTTTTGATTTTTAAAGTATGGTTGTAACTTCATATCATATATCATATTCATATATATTTATATATATTGTATCATATGTGTAATTTTTTTTTGGAAGGTAAATATGTATATTTATTTGTTTGATTATATTGTTTTTCACAGTTTATAAAAAAATTTCAAAGAGATATTAGGAGAGAAATACAATGAGAAAAAGAAATAAAGGAGAGAGAAGAGATGAGAGAGAAATAGATGGAAGTGGCCTAGCCGGGCAGGCTACGTAGTTTCTGTCAAAATAATCGGTCAATACTTCAGTTAAAATATTATTTTCCTTGTCATAAGGGTAAAATCGAGTTGGTGATTAATTATATTGACAAACACAAGTTACTTTTTACTTATTCTTTATTAGAAGTTTAAAAAAAAAATAATGCATTGAAGTATGCAAGGGATTGTACGAGCCAAATGGACAACTGAGCTAACAAAGTGGGCCCAACCCTTGGTTGAGGCAATGCTGAAAGCCTAGAACCTGCTTTCCTCTTCTAAAGATTGATTAAATGGTGGATGTTATAACTGGGTACGAACGATTAACCTTTTTGGATGCCTATTCAGGTTACAATCAAATCCCAATAGATCCAAACGATGAGGAAAATACCTCTTTTGTCACTGAACGATGGACCTACTGCTATAAGGTCATGCTGTTAGGACTGAAGAATGCTAGAGTTACGTACCAAAGGTTGGTCAGCTATATTTTGAGATTGGCAATCCATTCGAGTTGCTTTTTAATATGTTGAATTTTGTGGCTCAAATTGAGGTCACCCATTACATCACTCCTTACATCATCACCTTGCCAGCTAAGTATGTGTGATCGGTAAGAATTCTTGGTCACCAAGAATGCGTGATCACCAAGTTGAAGCAAGCCTCACTATTTTGATCAACGCATTGTTTTGGTGACCCATTTTTTGGTTATAAATAGCCTTGCTCTCCATTGTGTTGAAGCATCCAACAATTGAGTGTGAATTTGCTTAGTAAAGAAAAGTAATTGGGTTTTAGGTGTGAGCCATTTAACCTTATATCTCTTTATTTATATAGTAAAATATTGATCTGTCTTCTCCCCGTAGACGTAGACATAGCTGAACCACGTAAATTATTATCTCGATTGTGTGTGCATTATTTAATTTTTTCTTATCATTTATATTTCTCTTTGTTCTCATAAACGTCTATTCGATCCTTATTTCATATCATTATGCCATCAATTAACTCATAAGTGATATCAAAGAACTACTATAAGGTTATATATAGGATGCCCATAGCAATTAGTATATAATATAGGAAAAATTACATATAAATGGAGTCAAAGTTTCATATTTACTTAGAGACTGAGTCAAAATTCCATATTTCTCTAAAATGGATTGCTGAGGTGGCACATGATTTTTTACTGTTTAAAAAATTGTAATGCCTAAAATGCCCTTCCCTAATAAAAAAGTAGTACCTTCAGTTCAAAAAAGTAGTACCTTCAGTTCAAAAAAGTAGTACCTTCGGAGAAAAAGTAGCACCTTCGCGAGTGTTTAAAAAATATGGTACCTGGACGCTAAAAAGTAGTACCTTCAATTCAAAAAAGTAGTACCTTCGAAGAAAAAGTAGTACCTTCGCGGAAGGGTATTTTAGGCATCACAATTTCTAGACAGTAAAAAACCATGTGCCACCTCAGCAATCCATTTTAGAGAAATATGAAACTTTGACTCAGCCTCTAAGTAAATATGAAACTTTAACTCCATTTATATGTAATTTTCCCTATAATATAACTATAGGATAACAATCTAGATATAGAGGTCGGCAAGGGCAAAAACGTACTCTTAATTTCATGTTTTAAGCATTAGACACGAAGTGTGAATCATTGCTTGAAGGATTACCGACGTTAAAAGGAACATCTTTCGGATAGTTGGGTATGTTTGCCGCAACCATATAGAATAGTGAAGAAATGTGCAATTAAATGTGCAATATATAAGTATAGGAAGAGCTAATATAAGATTATATATAGGATGCAAAGTGCAATTATGTAATAACAATCTAGAAACATAGGTCAGCAAGGGCAATATGAGAAAAAAGTAAATTTAAGATAATAAATTGTACAGTCAAGGATTAGAGAGGATAAA